AAGTAACAGATTTTGGTAAAAAGAAGACATACGACACACCTCAAATAATCACCATCCCGAGAGAAGTYCAGCAAGATACCAGGAACCTTCCWGCTCTAAGAGATCACGACACCAAGCTAATAAGAAGACAAAAATTACCTGCAATGGTGGGAATGAAGTTTAAAAGTGACGCACATTTCAAGTAAGTCTGTAGTTCACATGAAACTTATAACTTGTCATTATACAGTTTTATCTACGCACGAGCACCTATATCACACGCAGCCCAACGACTTAATATAGTCTGAGTATACGACTTATGACGATCACTTTCTTCTGATTGACAGTTACCATAGAAACCACCCCGAGTCTATTCCAGACCTCCGTGACTCTATCACGGTTGGCAAGCAGCATCGATTCTTTGGGGTGCATGCGTCTTTACTAAGATGACGTCACATTCACGTGATCCTGAACCACCAATCACTTAACACCACGATATGGACGTACATACGATTGCGTATGTTGCAAATCCATGAGTTGAATTCACGCGGAAGTTCCCCTCTMAACAAGGATACGCACGCTTCGAWATCAGAATCTAAATTTTTCTTAAACGATGAAACTATTTCACTATGTATTTTAAATAAAAGGAAGGTTCTCATTATCAAACAAAATTACTTGTACACTTATTATTCACTCTAGCGCGTATTCCATGTTGAATGAAACTGCTGCTGAGCGAATTCTTATTTTCCATTATTTCYAATTTTTGTGATTATGTCCCTCTAACATTGATTGCTCRGGGTTTGAAAATGCGGGGCTGTAATTGAAATWAGTTCATTGACGCTTCTWCTTGTAASAGCATGTGACAGRCTAAAATTTAAAATTTAGTAAAAGTATTGTGAAATCTCCACTAATTTTGACATATGGTAAGAAATTTGACCTTAATGTKAGCAAATTTATACCTAATATAATTTCTTCACTGTCATGGGAAATACAAGGCCGCAAAACAATTATACAATTAAACACAGAGACAGTGACATTTTGAACAATTAGTGTACCAAAACATCTGTGTAAATAAGATTACTAACCTATTTTAAAATTCATAGGAATATTAAATTAAAACTGATTTCAAAATCCTTGGTGCGTTACGTACAGAATACAAAGGACAGTGAATTTGAACGCATAACTATAAGTAGCTGAACTAGTTTTGTGCGGCGATAGAACAAGCATATTAGCTTTATAAGTAATATTTGGTACTTCTGACTCCATGTTCCTAGTTGCACATGGCATTCAATTGCATTTAAGCCAGTTAAAACGTACAAAACATGCCTTTGTTTAGCTATGATAGTTCAATATAATTCAGTTTTAATGTTTGTTTCCTCAAGAAAGCAGTGGTGGGTTTTAGGTACTGAACTATGGCCGAGTTTTACTGTGTTTTAGGTAGGGCCATGAACATTAAATACCACTATCTAAGCCAATCAAATTGTAGGATTTGATTTTACCATATCATAGTATAAACGATTTTGTAGTGTACTCTTGATTGTAAGCAGAAAACTGCAAACCAAAAGTTTATTTTAATTTTCTTTAACAAAGACAATTTATAAATTATATGACAGCAGAACAGCAGCAGAAATCACAGCAGAACTGATGGCCATGATATTTTTTTTAAACGATTAAGTAAACCGCGGCTAAATCTTGCTGAAAAAAGGAGGCTTAAATCGACTGAGGAACACTCAGTCAGCCAAAAACAGTACGAAGTGTAATCTTAACTAAATACATGTAAATAGTAAAAAGAGATTTAGTTCATTTGATTTAAATCGATATAAATCCAACAAAATGACAGATGCAAACAACTATYTTGCTTAAGGACGGACATTCCTTGTAGCATAGCACTRTCGTCAAGGAAACTCAGTGTCCGCCATTTTTATTTCAAAATCCTTTTTCTTGGTGGGGTAATACCATTTTCAATTAGTACGGACTAGCTATGTATTGGCTAACACTATAGTGAAAAGGTTTTTACGTTTTGAAATCGTACAATTTAGATATTGTGATAACAAAGTGAGAATTCACTTCAAAAGTGAAAAATCGTGAGATTCTAATCTATTTTATAAGGAACAAAAAAGTTATTAACAACCCCTTGTAAAAGTGCTGGTACTTCTTTATTTACTAAGTGAAAGGACCCCTTTAAGTCTAATTATAAGAGACCTCTTTAGGTCTAATACTTTAACATTTCAGTAGCATCCCTTTAATTTAAAGAGATTTTTAAAGTATTTGATTTAGGAAGGTCCAATGCATTGAATAAGCTACCTATACGATTATGTGATGCAATGAGTTGCCCATTTTACATCAGAACGCAATTAATATATTTTGCATCCTCGGGGTCAACTTAAGAACAATGCTCCTGAGGTCCCGAGGATGGTAGACATGGCTGACAAGCTACTTGTACTCTCAAAATCAATTTTCATCATCAAAATGATATATCTTTTTTAATCACAACAGAGCGTGCATTTATCGTGCAGGGATAAAGTGCGATTATARCACGGTGAACTCTGTCGTTTTATTTCATTATGGCCCCTATGATTTCCCTCGAGTATGGCTTTAGCAGTTTGTGGGTGGAATAACCATGAGGCACGTGGTTGTGCGGCTGATATTATGAAGCTAAGCAACTGAATTGCGCAAATGAAAGAGGGYCTCAGTTGTTCCAGAATGGGCAAAAAGGTTTTCCTACTCAATAATGTTCACTTTTTCCCCTTTACTTTCTGTGCTCAGACTTTCTCAAAGCCATGAGCTCCTCTTTTTAAAATGAATATGACTGTGCTTCATCAAGCTTTTGCTTCTTAATGTAAAAAAAGCCATCGTTAATGTTCCAGTATACATTATAAGATCATTCACGCTTCATCAATATTTAAGATTAATATTTCGTTATCTATGATCTYTTAACTGTCGATTCTTGTGCAATAATGTTTGATATTGAGAAYTTATCGTTATGTACCGTGCTGCTTATTTTCTTTCATGTCCTTTTATCTGATTATCAAGAGTTAATAACCATTTATTCCCATGTACCAGCAAAAAATATCCATTAACRAAATGGAGCAATTTTACTCGAATATGTTACGCTCCTGAATGGAGCAATTTTTTTCTCGCTAGTAAGAAACAGTGGTACCAGGGACTCTCCATCATGTACTATCATGTCTGAATTTGGCGTGCGCAATTGTTGTTTGATCATTTCTTGTGATGAACGTTTCTCAGCAGTCAGCACTGTTAAAGGCACCTTTTTATATTTTTTTCACAACTGACCACAAGCTGTTCAGTACTAAGTAGTGCTACCCATGGTACAGGTCGATCTACTGATGATCCATTAGACTCTTAGTGGGTGGCTTCAGTGGATGGTGTCTCAGAATCATTGGTGAAACACAGAATACTGAGGTCGTTTTTTAGCTGCACTGAGGAACAGTGTCTTGACTACATCACGGTCTTGTCGAGCGCTACAGGCGGCTTAACTGAGAAATATCGAACTAATRTACWTGTCGGGGGATGTAACAAGTTATAAGTACCCTAGTCAGTAGCCCTATATGCCTATATGGTCTTTCATATATCGCGCAGTAATCTTCTGATTTGCCTTATCCATTTAATTTTCATAGCTTGCCCAGGGTTTTGAGAAGTATAGATTCGGTTGTAAGGCAAGAGCCTTGTAGTATGATGCACAACTGTTGAGTGTTTGTATTTTRGTAGRAAGGYGATATTAAAAGACAAAAGAGTTCRGCTTGGKTGGACGTTTTTCTTATTTAACTWATTCAGTTTCCCATGCTATTATGTTAATGGTACATTTCCGTGTCTACTCGTTGTTGTCAGATGCTATGGTAGTAGGTACTTACGGACTTCAATGTAAAACTTTGTAAGATTACACCAGAAAAAATTGAAATTYAATTTAAACTATAACAAATGACATAAAGTCCTTGGCTGAACAAATCTAAACAGTTAAACAATGTGAATATTACAAAAGTGTGCCATAATGAATAGGGCGTCGTCATGCCAACATGCTCCAGTCTTGATCGATTTTTTCCTTTCTTGTTAAAATTTTTCAGTAATTTGAAGGTGTAATATTGTTAAGATGAATATTCTATGGATTCTTTAAAAAATTCTTTTCATTTTATCAACGATTGTTCTCATAATAAAAGTTACAAGTTTTTTGGAAAAATTCTTATTTTTTTAATGAAAAATAACRGAAATTCTCAACCCTGCCCCATTGTGTAGTCTTGATATACATCAGTTTTTCTTATCAGCCAGTCTGTGATAAAAATGTTTCATTAAGATACGAATGATGTCTCAACGTGAAAAGTGCTATGCGATCAAGAAGATCAAACTCAGATGTGATCTTSAGGGGGCGATTTGATTGAGAAAAWWAAARCACTTYGAATTTCTATCAATATAAATAAACTTTTTAAATTCTCATTAAAACAAGAAATCAGCGAAGATGTCTACCGCGCGTTTCTCGTTGTCTTGGTTTCAAGATTTCAAAACTTCAATTGCGAAAACGAGAAAATGAACAAATCCAAAAAAAAATACTGAAAACGTGCCCATTTAGAAGTGAAGTTCTGACTTTTAACAAAATTAGATAGTTTATCATGTAAGAATGATTGCATTGAAGTTACTTTGTATAGAAATAAATCTTGAATGAAATCGTGGGTTGTAAATCGAGTGTTCATCGCTTGGTAACATTTTTATTGATGGAACAATGTTCGAGGCAGTTGAATGATTGAGTGAATCTAACCAATCAGAGGACAGTATTTGACGAGCCGATTATACAAATACCAGCTAAAATAGTAGATCACCTGTGGCAACCAAGCTACTCTTTCACTTCTTAAAGGAAGCGAAGCTATAATTATTATAGCGTCTTGGAAATTAGCATAATTTATCAGCCATTTCCTTATTTGGGAACCAGCTCTTGAGCCTATTGTTCTCAGGAATGGAATACTGCGATTTGATTGGTTAACGTAGGTGATACATTTATAGCAAACGCCGGAATAGGTCTTTCCCAGTTGTGTAGTATCCCTATGAATGTCTCTCCGTGATCTTTAAATAGTTCTTCCCCCTTCTTCGTCCTTACTCAACTCTCCTTGTAAGGATGGACAGCCCTTTAGATCTTACCATAGTCAAAAAGGAACCTGGATTGTCGTCTCTTTGTCCTTCGGACTCTGGACTGTTTGATTCGATGATGCAGGATGGATTTCATGATAACCACTTTCAATCAATCGTGAGTAGTAGTAGTAAATATCGACGTCGTACTTTTAACTATAGTTATTTCTAGGTGAATATCCAGTCTTGATATTGTCATTTTGTTTCAGAATAACGAAGAAGTTCCAGTGGACTGGCTTTCAAGCTTTTTTGACGAAGTACCATGTTGTATGGAACAGTCTTTACCTAACTATAATCTCCCAGAATATACATCCAGCTCGGGACTTAATTATTCGTCTAAAAACCACTCTATAGGATTAAGTGGTCTGAGCATGGACCCAATGCCTGCCTTACCAGAGGACTGTTCAAATGAATCACTATACTGTCCAACACCTTCTACACGGTGTAGATCTCCAGACTTTGATCACACTAGAGCCTTGATCACTGACAGTGAATCAAGTGACGATTCAAAGACAAATCTATTTGGTAGACACTCTTTATGCCCGCCTTTTGATAGTACGCAAAATAGTTTCCATCTTGAAGGGACGGAAATGGATCGAGTGAATGCCATGAATGGCTGTGCAAAGAACGAACTTGATGCAGACTCTGGGGAGAACGAATCAGGTGAGAAAATCGTGACTTAATCGGGATCATTGACTATTTTCAATWTATTTYRATAAAACCTTTTTTGTGGGGATAAAGRTTCTTTTGAATTGAGCCCATCAACAAAACTTTCGACAAAAAACACATGTAAATTAAAGTTTCATGAGTTGTAGCTTGTATCTGAAGGCTTTGTGTAACATCGACTACCCATAGGCAGTCAATATGTCCTTAGACRACCCTCTAAATCAAAGCATACATAYAAAAATATCACCAATTATAACCACTTTAAAGCTCTAAATTATCCTATTAAGGTTTCGTGCTAGAAAAATTTCAAGGTTTTYAATGTTGTAAGACAATAGGGCAAGTTGGTTAAGGTCAGCCAATGTTATCAGGTTTCTCGCCTAGACAAGAGATTCTTCATTTAAACTTTTCCTCTCGAGTTGTATCCGGAGTATATCAGCCCGACAGCTATGTAACAATTTCCGATTGTTTTAGATCTATATATTTTCCACGTGAATTTAATTGGCTTTCTCCAAGCTAAAAAAGGCACGCAATATTTTTTCACTTATCGATTTCARTATATAGTGAAATCAACAAATTGAAATTTATTTCTAGCTATTTCGCAATAAAATTCTTAGTCTTGGAAAGGTGTTTTTGGCGTCGTTTGAAACGCCTCTGTGACTTCTACTGACAAACATTGTTGATAATGTGTTTCTGAGGGTTTTTACTGCATAAAAGTCGCTTAGTAATGGCAAAGTAAGTAATGTAAACACAGCTGATGTATTTCTCGTCAGTACCCTACTTTGATTTTTACTAACGCCCACTAAACTATTCAAAAAATCCCAATGTTTTGATGTTTTACGGTTGGTGTGTCTTTCGATAGACTTTTCTTTTTCTTTGTTCTAATTTGTTAAAAAGAACGCAACCTGTTTGACAAGTTGTCATGGTTATTTAGTTGACGTATTTTTTGACGTTCTGTACGTATTTCCCTTTTCTATTTTTCAGTTCCTCTGAAAAAAAGAATCTTCGAATGACGTTTGATCATTCGTTCTAGAATCTTTGTTATGTATTGTTTTTGTTTATAAAGCGAAAAAAAAAACTTATTTATACAAGAGTGTCATTTTCATTTATTTTTCTTTGAATAGAATTTTCGAATGACGTTCTGATCATTTGTTCTAGAAGCTTTATTACGTATTGCGAGTCTATAGATTTTATTTATAGAGCGAAAGAAGAGTTAATTGAACTTATTCATAAAAGAATATTATTTGTTTTGTTTTTTTCTCTAAAATAAAATAATTTTATTTAACAGAATAATAAAAATTAGAATGATAATAATTAACAAACAAGACCTTTTTAGTGATAAGATTAATATYTATTAGTTTGCAAATTGCAACACGTTTTGATTTGCATCCTCAAATCCAATATTAAGTTACTGTCATCCATATCAATTTATAAATAATATAAATTGCCTASACTGCCTGTGTTTAAATATAGTTCWAGTGTGTTTRGGAGAAATATTGAAAAGTAAAGATTTGCTGATTATTTCATAAAGTCATAAAAACTGAAAATTGAAATACGTATAATATATACTGGTATCGAGAACCAWACATGATAAATATTTCTACAGTGTCTTATATCATGCATTATACACGTTATAAATCCCCTAGCGGCAGTATATAATGCTTGTACATTTCTCTTAGGTGATGGGTATTACTTTGCACCACTTCCTATCCAGTCAGAATACGCCACGCTCAGACGCTGCACGCAATACAGTAAGCAACCACCACCTTACAACCRACTCTCTTTCTCTTCTCTTTCACTGTCAGCTTGAAGTCTTTAAATATATATATATTTTTTTTCGTTTTCTCTTAATACTTAAATCAAAAGAAATAATTGATAAATAATGACAGTAATAAAATGAAAAGAGCATAGAATACTAAAAAATTACTTTAAAAATTGGCAATCAATTAACAAAACTCTTTATAAAATGAAGATATTGCTAAAAATCAAGTTTAAGTTTGATTTTGATGTTTAAATAATAAAGTCATTTGATCACTTGAATATTCTATCATTCTCAATTTCATTTCTTTTAATCCTTATTATAAATAAACACTTTGAATTGTTATAAACCTATTAAAAATTACCACCATTAAGGGATAAAAAATATCATATAAAGACTTAGTTATAAGCTGGTTGTTATGGTRACAWTGGGAGTAACAAGGAGGTGCTTTTATAACACAGGTTATGACTCAACTGCACATTCGCCGACAAGTACTACACCAAGTACACCACCACGAGAAATAGAAAATGATCTTAGTGGATCAAGTGCAGGAGAGACGACTCCGCCATCGATAAGGGTATGTTTGATACATTTAAATGGCTTTAAGAAACTTTTACCAGTGGAATGACTGGRCAGGTCCAGGAATAGAGACTGGAGCACTCGGACTTCTGATGAATTTGTCTGGATGTGCCAACATAGGCAGTTTGTACCCCTTCCCAACCCCCCTTCCTTCTAACCCAGCTGACATCCTAATGACACCATGAGTTTCAATTAAGTATTTTTTATATTTCGTAGACTCAGGATAAGCAGCCATTTTATCTTACGGAAGAGGAAAGAAGAACTTTGATAGCAGAGGGTTTACCAGTACCAGCAGGGCTTCCTCTTACTAAGGTATGTATTCCTGTAGTCTTAACACTTCATTGGCTTTTCAATGACACTTGATTGGCCTCCAATATCTTGTTTTTCTCTATGTACATATATCAATCATTCATGTACCTGACATTTTAATGGATTTTCTCTGGCACTGAATTGGCTTTTCAATGACACTGGATTGGCCTCCAATATCTTGTTTTTCTCTATGTACATTTATCAATCATTCATGTACCTGACATTTTAATGGATTTTCTCTGGCACTGAATTGGCTTCCAGTATATCATATATTTATACATGTATGCATGTTATGCCATTTGAATGGCTTCTCATTGACACCAGATTGGTTTATAGTAAAGTTTAATTATATTCTAAGACCAGATACTCTCATGTTTGTCTGCTATTTGAATGACTTTTCCATGACATTTGAATGGCTTGATTTTTGAATGAAATTAATTATTCATTTCTAACATATCAATAGCATTGTCTTAGCTTTTTATATTTTCCAGGATATTTTAAGTTTAATGTTATGATACTTCCTCAATAACATGTAAATAATATTTTCAATATTGATTTTTTGAAGGTTGAAGAACGTGCTCTCAAGAAAGTAAGACGGAAAATAAAAAATAAAGTGAGTTTTTGCTCATTTTTCCTTTCAAATGCATGTCCTGTTTTTTTTTTTTCTTCTTCTTCTTTGTTTTCACTGAAGTTTTTGTTTCTTCCAAGTAGATCTCATATCATAACAAATAGTCTATCTGTTATTTTTAGATATCAGCACAAGAAAGTAGACGTAAAAAGAAAGAATATATGGAAACATTGGAGAAAAGGTACAATTGGCTTGGTACCACTTGAATTTCTTCAACTCTGAATTTAATTTCACACCAATGTTATAATTATTATAACTAATTTGAATCCAATTTTAATAGAGTTGAAAAGTGTTCAAGTGAAAATATGGATTTACGGAAAAAGCTTGATGGCTTAGAAAATACTAATAGGTAAGAAAATAATAACAGGGTAATCACCATGATTCTAGAATGATTGTGTATTCTTTGTAGAATCATGATGTATTCTAGAATGATTATGTATTCTAGAATTATCAATCTGTGCATTTAGAACTTTCTAATGACAGTTATCTTGTTTATTTTCCTAGATCATTAATTAATCAACTTCAAAAATTACAATCAATGATAAATAATACAAAAACACATCGTCAAGTCAGTGCGCGATCTACACAAACAAGTACATGTTTGATGGTGAGTGTGATACTTTATTTAAAATATACATTATTAGAATTCATATAGACAAAACATAGCATTTATAAGTGACAGCAGTCACTTCGGCAGACAATATTCTCTCACATCAATAACAGGGCAACATGTGATTGGCTCTGATTTTTTCAGAGAACTGTAGGGTTTTCCCTAAGATATGAGGGTTTTCCCTAAGAGGTTTCTTGTTTCTCATCCTGCCATTAAAAGCTAGATCTTTGTAGTGTTGTGTGCTGAAATATCCCATGTAGACATCTGTAATTGACAAGTGTTAGTCTCTTCTGGTGACTTCTTATTTGCTCGTTTTTGGGGTTCCTGTGTTAAGACAGGAATCCCAAAGGAAGTGAAAATAGTTAGAGAAGGAGACTGTATACACCCTTTTAATAAGTCCCGAGGTATTACGTTCTCCGCACTTGACGTCAAATATATTCTTTTGAATTCCTTTTGTATTGTAAAAATTTCAAAAGAATAAATTTGACGTCAAGTGCGGAGAAAACAATACCTTGGGACTTATTAAAAGGGTGTATAGAAGGCTTAATATGTATATAGTTTCATGTTTTTGTGTGTGTTAAAGTATGTTTTTGTTTAGGTTGTTGTTCTGTGTTTTGCTGTCTTTATTGGTAGTTGGAGTCCTTTGACAAAGAATGGACTTACCCTCCCCTCCCCTGCAGAGTCTGATCGCACTGTTGCTAAGTACTCAGTGGACTACAGTACTCCCTCAGGTGAGGGGTGTGTCAGTGATGTACAGTACAACACTTACTTAAATCTTAGCACATTTCAARTGTATCAGAATTGGGCTTCCTGTGCCCTTACAYACAGGAAACCCAACACATGACATAGTGCAGTGTCTATGTCTATCAGTGACTAGGGTTTTCTTTAAAAATAACTACAAACTTTTTGCACACTTATAAAATCTACTTTAACTGTTAATGGTAACTTCTTCTTTCACTTTGCTTTGATTTATAACTATATAGTAGTTTTAGATTTTCTTTTTCTAAAATCCTTATCGTTTTCTTATTTTAGTTCGCTCAAGGGTGCTACTCTCAGTAGATGAAGCTGATGAGGCAGAGTTTGCTCCAACGCCAAGCATTATGGATGCAATGGCGGCATATCTTAAGCCTGGCCCAACTATCACAGCTGTCGATAATGACACAAATAATTATGTTGCAGTGGAAACATCATCAACCCAAGCAAAGCCTCGCGATGGCTTGTCTTCAGCTTTATGAATTAAATGGCTTATACTACATTATATATCACAAGCCGAAGTGCATCATGGGAAGACATGGGGGTTTTGCAGTGCATTACTAAAATATTTGGGTAAATTCTGTTTTTTGAAACAAAGCACTGCAGAAAATGGGAGTCATCTTTTATAGACATGCATTATTGTGAAAATCAGATTTTCTTCTCATTGTATTATGGGATTGTTTGGTTCCCTCCACAGTATCTTTTCTAATGTCATTCATTCAAATACAAACAATATAAATACATCAATAAATATTCAATAGTTTTAAATGACRAAATATCAAAAACAATATCTATGTCAACCATCCAATATCATGTATGGAAATGTATCATAGACAAACTTGTATAGAACAAAAAATAATAATTTTTGAAAGTCAAACTTTCTATTTTAAAACGTGTGGGACAATGYTTGTAAGATTGTGTAATTTTTTAGACCTCTTACAAACAACTTAAATTGGTAATAAAAAGACAAAAATATATATGTTGCCACTCAATCAGTCAAATTTACTTTAAAATGTACAAAACATGGTTGAACCCGATTTTTGTAGGGGGTGTCCCAAAATAGGACGTGGCATTGCAGAATACCTAATTGTAAACTCGAGCACGGACAATAACTGCGCCGGAAATAAATATATACTTGCACTACCACGTACTTGAGCATATGGAATAGGCCAGTTAGAAAAGCAAATAGACACTTGTCTAGTGTGACACTGTAATGGCTTTTCTTCTGACATTGAAATGGTTTTCCCTTTTAATTGCCTTGTATCATTTACATTACTTAGTCCGGCGAGTCTCCTTTTAACTGAGGCCACACRACAACAGTWATKTAGACACGAAAAACGTCTTTTCTGTTRTGTTGCATTGATTTTAAACATAAATACAGTTATGTAAATAAACAACCAAATATATACTACGTACTTTTTGTTCCTCACAAGACTTATTCAGTAAGCGATGAATTATAGATAAACCTAGTAAATTGCCGAAAAAAATTCAATTAGTCGCTATAGTAACAAATATAAACAGAAAATTATATAAAACGGCAAATCTCCACACGCTTTTTCATGGCTAAAAACCATCAACATCCTCAAGTCTTTTGGTGGACTAAAAGGAATCCCGTTTGGAGGCCTAAAAATAGCGTCATTTCAAAGCTAGATGAACATGTCGACTTGTACGTTAATGGCAATTCAATAGATACTATAACGACGGCAACCAAAAGTCATTTAGAGATAAGCAAGATAAAATCAGAAGGCACAAAGCTACATGGAAAAACAAATGGATTTATTTCTTCACAGACAAAAATACATGAACACAATACAGCTCAAATTACAGAATTTCGCTACAAGAATAGCGTTTCGTCGCTRAAGACAAATGCTAAAAATGACAAATATGCAAGTCCCCAACAGAAAACCATTGTTATGGAGTACATGAACAGTTTGCTTMAAAAAAGAAACTCATCTTTGCAAAAATATGCATCGAACTTCTATGGTGCSCCAAAGTATCATTTCAATCTAACGGGGTTAACAAACACGATTCCCTTTCCTTCCTCACCTAAACTTGGAGCAACAAACTCTACAAAAACTAGTGAAAAAAGACATGTTCTTCAAACTAGTAGAGGAGTTGTGGCAAGAAAACATGTGAAATTGAAACCGCTTTTGGGAAATGTTTCTCGTTCTAGTGATTTAGCAGCAGAAATAATGGAAATTTGACAATAACACAAAAATTGAACAGCGAATGTTTCGCGCACATTTTGATCTAATAAACTATAATATGACTAATAACATTGTTTGCGCGTCCAGTTCTCATTTTCCAGGATCTGGAAACAATGTTTTTCACTTCAACTACAGCAATGTTCAGAAAACCGCGAAAAAAAAACACTTAAAAGTAAAATCGATTTAAACTACTTTTACCGAGGTAGCAGAAGACTCTATTGTACTCTGTTCATCAACTTTAGGAAAATCCCCGCAAGATAATTTCCCTGACAGTGTCGAACAAAGGKTCATAGCATCTCACATTACCACGAGATGGTTCTTGTAAACTGAATACTTGCCAGCATCCATCAATACGACAAAGACAGCAAAAAACAACTGCTTTGTCGTCAACAGTACGACTTATTTGATCGCTACAAAGCTGCTCAGATGGATTTCTAGTATCGTAGAAGCTYAATTGAAGACGTTGAAAGTCGTGGATGCTTTCTGCATTAAGGGCACTCAACGTAAAGAACACCTTGTCGATAGATGATGGCAGATTTTCCAAGTTGACTTCAATGACATGTGTTCCTCGTCGTCCTCTCCAGTTATTCTTGAATCCATGKCCAGAATGAGTGACAGAATTACGTCCGTAGATATCYAGAAAAGACAAGGCACCAGTCTGGTTACCCCGGCGGAAATCAACATAGTCTTTGAGTTTAGTTCCACTATACACWAGRGCAGAAGCGTTGAGAWAATCGCGRTCATARCCAACATACTCCCACGAGAAGTCAAAAGTAACTCGTCTTAGTGAAGYTGAAATCGTTTTCAGGACTTTGATRAGGGTTACTTTACTGTTATTTGTGATGTTGTAGTCGCTTAGTTTCATCATTCGGTTGGATTTGTACGTCTAACAGAAATAAAACACAGCCATAGCATTATAAGTACTTGAACTGGTCTTCACCGCCAACTATCATAATCATTTAACATCATGACCAATAATTATCAGATATTATCAATATCATAATTATCATGAAATACCAAGGAAACATAAGTAGATAAGTGCAGCGTTTCTCAAGGCAAAAAGACTAAGTGGGAGGGTGGTTCCACACTTATTACAACTTCTTTATTTTAAGGTGTTTCTGTAGGTTTTACGTTGGATGCAAAGCAAAGCTTAGGGCAGGTATCTACACCAGGTATCTACTTCATCTCATACTAACCTCCATTGGCTTATCATTGTACAGMAGACGCTGCTTCCTAACCTCAACACCAAATTTCTTCTTAATCTSTTCTTTGAAGTCTGTTACTGTTGCTGAGCGAGAGACAGCAATGGTGGCCTTGTCACCATTTAACATTAGAACCTCAACAAAGATAACTGGCAGCAAATGTCCAATTGATTCCAATGGTGAAGCTGCACTTGCTCCTTCATCCATTTCAAATGGTGGGAACAGCCATTTTAGTTTTTGAGTACAAGCAATATACCTTGGATGAGACTTAAGGACAAATGCTTTGCAAGTTGGGCACTGACYTTTTTTCTCCACAGATGCCATAACACACTAAACATGAAAGATGTCATTAATTTTGTATGCTGTTATTGTCTGCTAATTCTTACATTCTTGTTTTCAGTTTGTTCCTGTTCTGGACTTTCAGGACCTTTCAGAGCTTTCTCTTTACTGGAGAGGACACAGGAAGCCCAAAACAAGAGCAGGAAATGAAATCTATCTTGTCTTTTCATTGCATGTTCAGTTTGACTTGTTTCGATATGTTGTTTGATGCTATTCTGTGTTTGCACCTTTAAGTTAGGTGGGTTTACTTTCAGAAGACGAGCTTATCAATCTATGGTTATAACTCGTGTAGACTTACCCTAATACAATAGACTTGAGCATGATCTTTCTCACAGACATTACCAGGAGGAAACTCTTTACGAAGCTTGTTTTTAGAGCAGCCTTCACACAACATGATTGAGCCACAGATTCCAAGGAATATCCTTAATTAATAGAATGGAAAAGTTGAATATTTCGGAAAAATAATTATAATTTGTTTACACTGAGAGAAGCTTTTTAAAAAATGTCAACTAATTTCTACTCAAAAACAAACTCRAAGGTRTCGTTACCTCGATTTCTTTATCCTTCTGCTGATTATGTCTGTTTATCAACCTAAATAAACCAAAGAAAACGTACCGTAAAAGGATAATTCAGGTGATTTTACACTGTTAAGTTTATAGCAACATCAGTTATTTATACCGAATTCGTGGAAATATAAATAATGTATGAGTGTCAATGTCACAATTACATAATAATGACTTGTCTTTCGTRGCATAGCRCACAAGCAACGAGAAACAGGCAATCAAAAGGTTTTTTAATTGCGAGCTGAAATAAGAGTCGTCATCCCAAAACTGAAGGGACTGTCAGGCTCTTAGTCTGTATGCAGTCGGTTTATATATGAAACTAAAACAAATCTTCCAAAGAAATTCAGTTAAATATATGTTAGGTAAACGGAAAATACCTTTAATAGAGCGAACTGAAGCTGTATTTCGTCCAATTTARCGGCTGAAGTTCTCAAATGCTGSACRAAATAAAAGCAAATCAAGAATGAACGAGTTTCCTGTCTGCAAATTCCGCCAGGCGTTCYTCTCGTTTCTTAGAAGTCCTTGGCACGACCTTGGCACTATTACAAAGGCAGCCCAAGCTGTTGCATCGTGCACAAAGCGGTTACCAGATGCCTATTCCCCAAGAGTTGCACAAGCAATGCAGTAAGAACACGTAATGTGAGTTTATTAACGTAAGTTACTGCTGTTACTGTTAGTTTATTAACCCAGAATGAATATTTCAAATATACATGGTAATTTGCTGCGTAAAACTAATTGTTTGCCTCAGAAGTTAGCTGTGAGCGTGAATTTTCCCATTTTTCCATATGAACTTTTACACAGAAATGGTGCTTTCATTTGATTTGAAATTGTATTTATTTTTCCAATACATTATTCATTATCGATCATAATATAATATACATAGAATATTCATAGATTGGTATATTTACATCAGTGTGACATACAACAGCCATAGCAAGGACTAGTACAAAAAAWAATAAAACTCGATACAGCGTGATTTGCAATCCAAGTCTAAAATWTATCCTTCAAAGGCTACCAAAATAAAGTATCATCAATTCACATACAAATAAAGTCTCATATATATAAAAAACTAAGCTGTCTTTTTCTTGTAAATCTATTCTGAAAAATGAGAGTTTTCGGTCTGGAGTTGATGCTTGCTTACGTCACAGACTTCGTCATCATGGAGCCCTTCGTTCACTGCTGTGGTAGGCTGATCTTTCTTGCTGATTTCTTCAAGTAACTAAAAATAGATGTTTTTTGTAAATTATTATTATAAGATTTTTGTTCTTTATCATGRCATTAGTATAGAGGTTTATTATGACAACCAAAGTTACTGAAAGCAACATCACTTTTAGATTCTGCGTGACGTCAATGCACTATTAACATCATCATTTACATACTGATGCATTATATCATATGGAAATTACTTTTGTCTTTGATTTATGCCTATATACTGATGACGTCATTTCATAGTCATGACATCATTATATTTTTTTACTATCAATCATGATGGTGATTATGCCAACTGTGAGGTCAACTTTTTTGATGACGTCATTATTCAG